ATCCATGTCACTGACAAAGATATTACGATATTATTTGTTATGAGGTACCCATCAAAGTACAGAGTGGAAGTACTCTTTGTCTTGGTGAACATTCAGTTTTCTCTGTATTCCTGGTATATTTAAGTCCAGTGTTATGAACCTCCACATCATTAGCCCTGAATTTCTTTTTAAAATGAGGTAGTTGGTCTAAACCATGCTGATTGTAACGGCTTGCTTTGTGGTGCTATTTTTCATATTTTACTCAAACATAGGATAGACTTTTTTTCCTTAATTTCACAGTAGCAACAACAACTAGTTTCTTCTCTCACAATACTATTTTTCCATCTTGTCATGGTACTCCCACTTCAAACTATGATTTGCATTAGAGACTTGGGGAGGGCGTGTGAAGATTCAGGCTGAATACTTATCTCCTACATTAACACCAGCGCTTAAAAATTCTGAATGATTTATTGCACGAACAAGTTTAGATTAAAGGTGGGCCAGATCATGGGTTTGTTGTTTTATAATTCTTCTGCAAATAATTTTTTTTTTTCAGAAATGATAAAATAGACAATGATATGGCAAGACTGGAGGGGGAAAATGTAACACTAACTCTGTTCAGGCATGTAAAGGAGCATGACACAGAAGTTTTGAAACTGTTGTCCTGTGGCACAAGAGTAGGAGGATGAAGAAAGAGCTTGGGACTAGCTGAAGTCTGAAAAGATATTCTTGAATTTATTTTAGTATTGCAGGACAAGCATTTATAATCAGTTTGGGCTTCGTTCCAAGCACTTCAAAGTTGATCTGAATTTCACCATAAATTGAATTAAGAGTATAATCAGGACCTGAGGACTGCTTCTTTTGTCCTTGCATTACTTACAAACCTCACCATCCCTTGGATGCAGTGACATTAGTGGTGACTCTACTTGACTGTAGATGAAGAGGGTGTGACAGCTGCTGATCACTGTGGTAGCACTGCAGGGTGGCAGCTGAGAGCAAATTCTTCCTGGCCTAAGGTGTTGAAAAGGTATTTTCCCTCATCCTAAAAACAAACAAAACCTCAAGCCCCAAAACTACTATCCGTACTTCTGTCTGCAGAGTATTTTCCCTCATCCTAAAAACAAACAAACAAACAAAACCCCCACAAAACCTCAAGCCTCAAAACTACTATCCGTACTTTTGTCTGCAGACATAAGCAAAAATACTGTTAAAGGAGACAATAGAATCTTTTTATTTTTGGCAGTAGTCCCTAGGCAGTGTGGCTTGTGTAAGCTTTCTTCAGAAGCCAAGTTCACAGTCCTTTCACTTAAAGGACCTAATTTGTAGTATTGGGAGACCACGATTGCTGGACAAAAAAAGCCGTAAAGGCCTGAATATAATCTGAAACTCTTCAGGAGGTTTCCATCCGGTATCTACTGAATACAGCATCTTCATAGCCTTGGCTGTCTAATATCTTAGGGGATACGGACTCAGATGGCGGCTACCTGAACAGGTGTGGTTTCAGAGATCTCCGGAGAAGAAATTCTGTGAGTTACTGAATTGATGTGATGAGAATAAATACAAGCTCTTCCTTCCTTCCACAGATAGAACTCTTTGAGTTCAAGGGGGAGGACCTCACAGATGAAGAAGATGGTGGCATCATCCGAAGAATCCGTAAAAAGGGGGAAGGCTACTCCAAGCCCAATGAGGGTGCACTTGTAGAAAGTAAGTATGTTACACAAATAGTAAATGGGTTTACCATAGGGGAGGGCAGAACCTTTTCCCCCATTTATAACTGATTGAGAGAGAGATGTGACTTCTCTTTCCTTTACCAAGTAACTTCACAGCCCGATGTACTGGGTTTGTGTGGGTTTTGGTAGCAGGGGACACACAGACATGCACATGCACATCTGTGAGAAGTGCTGAAAGCTTCCCTGGCGCCAAGTCAGACCTGCCTCTGGCCAAGGCTGAGCCAATTAGCAATGGTGTTAGTGCCCTAGTGATGACACATTTAAGGGGAGGGGGGAATGGCTGAAGGAATCTGCAGCAGAGAGAGGAGTGGGTTGAGAGAGACACAACCAGGCAGACACTGAGGTCAGTGAAGAAAGGTGGGGCAGGAGGTTGGGCTGGAGTAGAGGTTCCCCGGCAGCCCATGGTGAGGGGGCAGGCTGTGCCCTGCTGCCATGGAGGGTCGCAGTGGAGCAGAGACCGGTCTGTAGCCCATGGGAGGGACTCCCAATGACTGTCTTCCATGGGAGGGACTCCATGCTGGAGCAGGGGAAGTGTGAGGAGGCCTCCCCCAGTCCTGAGGAGGAAGGAGCAGCAGAAACGATGTGTTACAAACTGACCAGAAGCCACACTCCCTGTCTTCCTGCACTGTTGGGGTGGGAGGAGATAGAGAAATTGGGAGCAAAACTCAGCCCAGGAAGAAGGGAGGGGTGGGGGGAAGGTGTTTTACGATTTGGTTTTGTCTGTCATTACCCTACTCTGATTTGATTGGTAAGAAATGAAATTGATTTTTCTTCCCCAAGTCGAGTCTGTTTTGCCCGTCACTGTAACTGGTGAGTGATCCCTCCCTCTCCATAAGCCTTATATATTTTTTCCTCCCCATCCCAGCGAGGGGAGGAGTGAGTGGCCTCATGGTACTCAGTTGCCACCTGGGCCTAAACCATGACAAGGAAACTTTCATGCTCCTACTTCTAACAAGCTTTACGTTCTCCAGCAGCAGCTGTGTTCTCCAGAGATACTGAAGCTGATACTGTCTGATCAAAAAAGGTAGATGAGTCTAATACACGGAAGTATTTCCATTTGCTGTGGCACAAGAGGAAAAGTAGTTCTGGCACTTGTTGGAGTAGAAAAAAAAAAGCAAACCCACAAACAGATGAACAAAAGGGTTTATTAAGTTTAGCAGAAGTTCTGTTTGCTGCCAGTAGCCACCATGCATAGGTAGCTGTTAAGATAAAAGACTGTTTAGGAGGAGGCTTTGTCACTCCCTGTATTACCTGTGCTATCTGCCCCCTACTATCCCTGGATATCTTCTGATTCTTCTCTGTGTTGTTCTGTTTTTTGTTACCAGTCCAGTTCGAAGGCCGATACAGAGATCGTGTTTTTGACAGGCGGGAGTTGCGATTTGAGATCGGAGAAGGTGACAACTATGATCTTCCCCATGGTCTGGAGAAAGCAATTCAAAAAATGGAAAAATGGGAGGAATCTGTGTTCTATCTCAAACCTAAGTATGCTGTTTCTCATCTTGAAGGGTTTATACTAAGCGGCTGGCAAGAATGAAGTGTTTTGTTACAATGTCTGACAGTTTTTATTCAGTGCCGTAGTAAAAACTTGATCAGTCCCAAAAATTTCAGAAGTATGAAGCTGATTGCTGTGCCACTAGTTTGTGAAGTAGCAGCACTCCAGAGCAAACTTACTGAAGTCTCTATAATGTTGATCTGGGTGAATATTAAAATATTGTTGCTCCCTAACTTACTTTTTTTGTGGTCCCTCTTAACAGAACAGTACTTGATGTGCAGCAGTGCATATAAAGATACCTAAAGAACAGCCTCGGAATAGGAAGAGATGTGATGAGCCCTAGGAGTAGCCCAGTGTCACCAGATAGCTAGTGATGTGGTTAGTAGAGCGTATCAGAAATCCTTTGTCGGTAGAAAATGTTCATTAGTATTCTGAAAGCCTTTTGGAAAAGACCTTCAAGATTCCTGAGATGTAGGGGAGAGTTACAGCCAAACCTTGGACCATCATGAGAACTCGGAGACTAAGAACAGCTAACGGAGTCGTATGACTGCTCAATAGAATCATAGAATCATGGAATGGTTTGGGTTGGAAGGGACCTTAAAGATCATCTAGTTCCAACCCCCCTGCCATGGGCAGGGACACCTTCCACTAGACCAGGTTGCTCCAAGCCACATCCAGCCTGGCCTTGGACACTTCCAGGGATGGGGCATCCACAGCTTCTCTGGGCAACCTGTCCCAGTGCCTCACCACCCTCTCTGGGAAGAATTTCTTCCTTATATCTCATCTAACCCTCCCTGTTTTCAATTTGTACCCGTTACCCCTGGTCCTGTCACTACAGGCCCTTGTAAAAAGTCCTCTCCCAGCACCCTTGTAGCCCCTTCAGGTACTGGAAAGCTGCAAGGAGGTCTCCTCGGAGCCTCCTCTTCTCCAGGCTGAACAAGCCCAATATTAGAACCTTGAACAGTCTTGGATATAAGCAGAATTTTCCTTTTACAGTGACAGCACCTCTGTGGAGTTTGCACTGATTGTTTCCATCAAACTCTTAATTCATTTCACTTTTAAAGTGTTTGGGTTTGTTTGGTTTTTTTTTAACTGGAACTGAAATTGATGGGAGAAGAAAAGCAAAGCAATCTGATCCTGAGGGTTTTCCTGATAATCTGCAGCTTCTTACTGGAGTTGCAGTGCAGAACCTTTCTACAGGCACTTCCTGTTACCTGACTGACTGGCAGTACGCAAAGTGTGCAACCGTTTACTTCATCTCTGTATTTATTGGTGTCTTTGCTTTCCTGAGAACAATACTAAAGTACAGGTGCTCTGAAGGAAACATCCAGTCTGAGACCATGAATATCAAGTGTGTGCAACTTGAAAGTATCTTTTTTTTTTCCCTTGAGGGAGACATAACTTACTTTTTCTTTCATATAAACTACGAAAAAAAAGAATAGTAACTGGTGACCTAGAAATGAATGAAATTAACCCCAGGTTTCTCCAGCTTTCTTCTACCTTGTGCTTGCTAATTTTAGAATAGTACCCAGAATTCCTCAAGCCTTTATGATTTGTAATAATGCTATATAAGCATCCCAGATTTGCATGGGGTTTTGCCCCAGTTTCTTACCTAGGGAATATGGCTGGATGGGTCGTTTTGCAATTCCTGGTTTTTGTTTGTTTCTTCCCCCACCCCCAATCTTACAGCTATGGTTTTGGAAGTGCTGGGAAGGAGAAATTTCAGATCCCTCCAGATGCAGAGCTACAGTATGAAGTGAAGCTCAAAAGCTTTGAAAAGGTAGGAATGAGAGATGATGTCCCAAAGAGACTGGGAGGTGGGGGAAGTATGAGTGCAGCGTAAATACAATGGAATGCTTGAGTGTTGATCTGAAATAGGGAAGCCACTGTTGTCAGAGATTATGACACACTGGGAGCTCTTGGCTGAATCTGTCCTTGTTCTTACTGTATCCCTCTTTGTTGCTGTCAGTGTCTCCTGCTGTAGCCCACTTTCCAGTAGCAGTACAAAACTGCTTTGGCAAACCTGTCTTTACTGTACCGTTAGTGGGAAGCAGCACAGCCACCTGGCTTCCCTAGAAATTTTATTACTGACTTGAATTGTTCCTGTTCGGGTAGGCTAAGGAGTCCTGGGAAATGAACACAGATGAGAAGCTGGAACAAAGCTGCATTGTGAAGGAGAGAGGCACTCAGTACTTCAAGGTAAATTACAGCCCCCATGTAATAACAGCATTTCTTAGTCCATGTCATGAGCTGATGATGGTGATCGCAGCTTCTGTCATTTCAGAGTGGTGTTCATGGTATTCTCTGTGACCTTTTACAGACAGGACTGGAGGGGAAGGTGTCTTAAAGAAAATTTTTTAAAAAGCCACAGAATTGGCATTTCCAAAGAATTAACTCTGCAGGGAGTTACTGCTCTCTCTCAGAGCTGTTTGCTGTACCTACCGGTAACTCTGGGGCATGCACTGGATAGTAACGAGGTTAACAGTGTTGAAGTTCCTACTGTGGGATAGCGCTGTGAATGAACAACATTCCTTTGGGTAGAGATGTGTGGATAAGCTGTTTAAAACAATCTGACCAGCTAAAGCAGACTTTCCCATTATCTTCATGACACAACAATACTTGAGCTGTTTTGAAAATTCCCAATCTTCCTTCTTTTATAACACAAGTTGAATATAAGGTGAGAGTTGAGTATCAATGCTGGCCTATACCCCTAGCTTTAGTGGTTGAACCGGTAGGTATTACTAAAGATTTTCTGATCCTATGCAGGAATGGGTTTCAGAAGCAGTATATTTTTGATGATAAAATTTTATGATTTTTCCTGTTACTCCGAGTTGTTTTTTTTTCAGATCTATTGCTCAAGGTAAGCAATAGAGGCAAGAGGGAGAGAAATGTTACTGCGATGAGCTGTGTGATAACTGAACTGCCTTGTTTACAGGAGGGGAAATACAAACAGGCAGCATTACAGTATAAGAAGATTGTGTCATGGCTGGAGCATGAATCAGGACTGTCTGATGAGGAGGATACGAAAGCCAAAAGCTTGAAGCTTGCTGCCTACCTTAATCTAGCTATGTGCCATCTCAAGCTGAAGGAATACTCCCAGGCTTTGGAGAACTGCAACAAGGTAGTAAGGGTTTGTTTATTCTTAAACTGTCAGGTTGCTTGTGCAGCTTATCTCTTGCTTTAACAGTTGGAGGGATACCAGGCCACGTGGTGGTTTGGCCGGCCTTAGGAGCTGGCAGTTGGGTAGTAATGAATATACAATGTAAAAATATCCGATGGGTTATTTTCATAATTAATGTCCTTTGAGTATCTTTTACTAACTTGCTGCTACATTGAGAATATTTGAGTATTTAGAAACTGGAAACACTGAGATGTGGTGAAGGTCGTCATGTTGGCAAAAGGTCCTTCAAAAAGCTGAAATAGAGCCAGGACGAAATCTGAGACTTGCTGGTTCACTGTCAAATAGCCTAGTGTATGCCGTCCTCTTTGTGCTTATTTCTGTTGTATTCAGCTTGCCTTATTAGGGAAGCCCTGACACGACTCGTAATCTACATTAGAAAGTACAGTCTCTAGCAGTCTTGGGTGTTCTGACTGCCTGTTATTCTAAAAAACAAAAATATTCTTGAACGTGGTTTTTATTTTGTGGTAGTGTGGGAGTTTTGGTTTGTTTTAATGTAGGCACTTGAATTGGATAGTAATAATGAAAAAGGCCTCTTCCGGCGCGGAGAAGCACACTTGGCTGTCAACGACTTTGAATTGGCCCGGGGAGATTTCCAGAAAGTGATACAACTTTACCCGAGTAACAAGGCTGCCAAAGTGCAACTGGTAACTTGTCAGCAAAAAATACGGGAGCAGCATGAGAAAGAGAAGAAGATGTATGCCAACATGTTCCAAAGGCTTGCAGACAAAGACTTGAAGGTAAGTAACACTACTCCGGAAGACTACAAGAGGTGGTGTCACATGTTGGACAAGAAATAGCAGCTTAGGTGTTCAGTTTGCTACTTAGTACAGCGAAACATAGTGGGAGAACACTCAGATAGCTTCCTCTGGCAGAAAAAATGAAATAGCCAACAGTCAAAACGATTAGGCTGTCTTGTTTGAGCAAGACAACTAGCAGCACCAAGCATTGCACAGAATGCTTTTACTTATTTCAGCTGAATTTGCAACAGACCAGTGCTAATCAGAAAGCAGTTGAAGTGATGAGATGTAAACGTAACGTTCAAGAACTGAGAAAAGCACCTACTCCCCTTGAACCGATCTCCTAAAGAACAGTCTGATGCGGTGCCCGGGTGACCCATCTGCTGAGACTGTCTGTCGTACCGGTGGTGCTGAGCACCATCTCGCTTCACATGGAGACAATAAGAGGTCGTTGATGCTCTCCATCTCAAGGGTCAGGTTGATTAGGAAGTGTCAGAATTCAGACTGTCAGAAGGTTGATTATTCTGCTCTGTTATTCTACTCTGTCTGCCCCTAATGAAAGAGTTGCTAGGCTGACAGGGGGAACAGCAGTTTCATTGCACTGTCTTTTGAGATGAGCAGGACACGACGTTTCTGCCTCCCTTTACCCTGTTTGAAAACTCTTGCAAGGTCAGCATGTGCTGGTTATTGTAAAACTGACCTCTGGCCCTTACACATGGTGCTCCGCTTCCCACACCTTTTACACGTTCCGGAAGACACGGCAAGGAGAGGGCTGTTATGAGCAGCTGCCTGGTCCGATCAGATTTTCTGCCAGCTGCGTTCTTACAGAGGACATCCAAGTGACTTTCTGAGTTAAAAGTCACTCTTCTTGCCCAACAAAGCTACTTCTTTGTATCTGGAGTGTAAGCGTGCCTCATGCAAGCTGGGGGGGGTGTTGCTGAAATGGAAGCATGTCGAAATCGAAGCAGGACAGAAGCAGTTCTGTGCAGAAGCTTCCTGAATGAATTTTGGTTTGTGGGAGAACACTTTCTTAAAGTGTTGTGTGGCAAATGTGTGCATGCCGCCTTATGGATCGTAAGCAGTGTTATTTCTCAGCCTCCTTTAAACTGCTGCTAGTTTGTTAGATGCAGAGAAATTTTTGGTTTCTCTTGGCTGAAGGCCCTAGTATCTTCATTCAGTCTTGCAGGGAGACCAGGTATCCCTGATAAGAGTCAGTAAGAAGAATGAGAAGAACCCAAATAATGTTTGTGGTGGTCTTTTTGCAAATGCCAGCGATTTTGTATAACAAAGGAATGCGTTTTCTTTGTCTGTGTTTAGTCAGCTGCTGCTCTTCAGACCAGCCACACTCAAGATGAAGAAATGAAAGATGAGCAGAATGGAGTTGAAGATAAATCAGAAGTTGAGACAGAAGCATAAAACCAAACCCTATTCCATTAGTTTTGTAAATGAATTTCTGGTGAATTAGACCTTTATTTTTCTACCTAGTTGGACAGTGGCTTCAGGGGAGCAGAGGCTGAAGCCACTATGCCACAGTCAATTACAGCTTTATATGTCTGTTGAAGAACCTGAGTGGCAGCATAAATCTGGTTTAATCCTAGGGATTTTATTTATTCATTCATTCAGCCTCTGTTACTATTTGGGTTCTTTCTGGGTTTACTCTGCTGGGTTTACTTGCATTTTGCCATTGGTGTTTCTCTTTTTCTGGTTCCAGCTCACTTTAATCCCAGGTTCTGCTTCCTGAATTTATTTCCTTGTTTTCTTTCAATTAATGCCTTTTCCAGGAGTCCTCACGTGGGATTTGAACAAATCGACGCTCCCAGTTCTTCTGCCTTGGCATTGTCCCCTTCCCCCCCTGGCTGTTCCGTAGGGAGTCCCTTCCATTAAGTGCTGTAACCTTTGTTGTATCCCTCCTCTTTGCAAACTGCTGAAGGTAAAGACTGAAGTCACAGCTTAAGTAATAAAGCTCCAGTTAAAACAACTTTTTGTGGGGTTTTGTTGGAATATGCACAGAATTTGGAGAATTTACTGTCCTTGGGTCATCCATCCACACAGCTGTGCAGTAGCCACGGTACCTATTTTTCTCTACACAGCTGTGCAGTAGCCACGGTACCTATTTTTCTCCATTTGTTCATTGCCATAGAAAACTCACAGCAGTTGATACACTATTTACCCATATATTTGTAAAAGGAAAATCATACAAAAAGCAAATCTGTAACCTATGCATACAGCTTATTTTCTGTTCATATTGCTACCTTCCTCTTTGCCCTCCACATTGTAAAACTGGACTGGAGGGGGGGAAAAAAACCCACCCAAGTGACTGGCTTTGGAGAGACAGTAAGTTGTAATGGTTTAGCACATTACAAATACTTGTAATGCCTAATGAGCTACACACTTTGGAGTGATGCCAATGTCTGCTTAACCCCATCTCGCCAGAAAGCGACTGCTTTGCCTTCTGCTGCTTTCTGCAGCACGTGTGTCTTGTGTGGGGACGGGTGTGCGTTGGGGTTTTGTGTTGGGACGGTGGTTTTGGTTGTCTGCAGACATGGAACGTGGTGCTCGGACTCCTGTTCTGTGTTTATCCTGTTCTACAGTGTTCAGCTCTGCATCTCCGCTCTCCTGTTCTCAGACCCTCTAGCACCAGGATGCTGGTTTGCCTGCTTTGCAGGATGAAGGTAGATAATCTGTTCCTTTCGGACACGAAAATGGATTTTTTTTAAATGAGCAACATGTGGTGTCTTCCCATGGAATGGGCTGGAATTGGGTTTATATTGCAGAATATTCCTGTTTTAACACGAATGACATCTGAGTTTCAATTCCTGGTCTCCTTTGCTGAAGACAGAAGTACTGTATCAGCACTCCTGCGTGGGGTCTTAGGGGTGGTGAGGTTGCCAGCACCTCCCCCTGCAGCAGCACCAGCTCGGGCCTGGCTGGCAGCTGTCACAGCGGTCACGGCGGTCAGGCCTGCTTAACATGCCATCCTGCCCCCAGGCCCAAAGCCAGTTGTTCTCTACCTGCAAGCTCGGGGATCTGTGAACTCTGCTCTCCGCAGCGGTGTCACCACGCCCTGGGCTTCAGTGGGGTGGAGGTGGGACCGGAGAAGAGGCAGGATGAAGCGCTCATAGGTGATCACGTTTAAGGAAATGCTGAGTGAAATCTTACAAACCTGACTTGTGTAAACCACACGCATCCATCTCTTAATTTATAAATCCTTTATCCTCTGGTATTCTACTAGCTCTGCGGCACCTCTGCAGCAGCAGTAAGCATCCCGCTTCGCCATTATCTGTGAGAGGGGAAACATCTTTGCCCAGCCGGCGACAAACGCACGGGGCAGCTGCTCTGTGCCGCCGGACACAGGACTGTGCCCTGGGGTCTGACCGGCCATCAACCGGCTCTGTCGCACAAGGGTTTGGCTGTTGGGATCGCGTGAACGGGCAGCCCGGCTCCTGCCGTGGGGACGAGGCCCGGCAGGCCCTCGCTCTGCCCCCGGTTCCGCTTAGCACGCAGTGGCCGGGG